GACATTGCAAAGGAATTTGTTACATTTAATGAGCATAGACGCCAATATTTTGGACAGTATTAATTTCAGTACATGCTATGTATTAATGATCAATTGTAAAAATAATACCTTAGCCCCCCCAACTTTTAGTTTGTTCCTACCCCTATGCTGCTACTAGTGGAAGACCTTCTGATGATACACAATGAAACTACTTCTGGCTCCTCTCCTCTTCCTACCTCTTGTCAGGAGGTTAAGAACAAGCAACCAAACAGTCCTTCTGGTATGTATCTACTGGAAACTGCTAATGGAACTATTAATACTTACTGTAATATGGAGGAGTTGTGTGGTTCAGGAGGAGGATGGACAAGACTAGCATATCTGGATATGACTGACTCTACAGTGAACTGTCCTTCTGGGTTTAGACTGTACCATTCAGGAGGAGTTAGAGCTTGTGGTAGACCAGTAACAAGCAGTGGTAGCTGTGTATCAGTTCAGTTCCCATCTAATGGTATCAGTTATTCTCAGGTGTGTGGTAGAGTAACTGGATATCAATATTATTCACCTGATGCAGTTAACCTTGGTTTTGCAAATCACAATAATTTGAATGGTGATTATGTTGATGGTGTTAGTATCACTCGTGGGTCTCCTCGTCAGCATGTCTGGACACTAATGGCTGCCAATTGTGAAGAGAATTGTTTTGGTACTTTTATTCATATCTGTCCTTGTGGTACTGGCTCTGTGATCCCAGTTCAATCATTTATTGGAGACCATTATTTCTGTGAATCTGGAGTTGCTAATGGTGAACATCAACGGCAATTGTATACATCTGATCCACTCTGGGATGGTCAAAGTTGTGGTTCTAATGAATCACCTTGTTGTAATGTTACTGGTATCCCATGGTTTCACAGAGACTATGGTAACACTACCACTACTGACTATATTGAGTTGAGGGTGTGTGGAGATGAAGGAATTGATAATGAAGATGTTCCTGTTAGCTATTATGAGATTTATGTTCAGTAGAACAGTTTGCTAGTCATATTGTGCTTTATTATTAGTTTCAGTACTGTGACTTCTATAGTAGTGTAGTTTCATTTTCCTAAATACTTTTCCCCCAATTTTTTAAGGATTGATTTAAGGCTATAATTTGTATTTGACCACAAAATAAAGTTTTTAAAAACTTAATTACTATAAACTAACTAATATTAACAGTACTAAAGTTAAATAATAGAAATAGAAATGGCCATATACGCTACACGAGAAGTGTTACTATTAATCTCATTACCATCTTGACAGTACATCATCCAGATCAGCCTATACATGCACTGCCCATAAAGCAGAGGTGCATCTCCTCTGGATCAAGTATGCATCCATAGTGTCACCATAGTGTCTGCTATTATTAATTTCCTAAAACAGTGAACTCAGCCTTGAGCAAAGGAAATTTTCAGTCACATATCTTGTTTTGCTTTTGAATCCTTACATACGAATAACTGATCATTAGAGCACATTCTTTGCATTGTTTTATCACAATACACGAGTAATTTTGCATGTGACTGCTCATGAATTGCAGTATACACCTTCAAACTTTTTGTGCTGCAACTTAATCATAAAGCATTAATCAGGCTCTTTTGAAAGACAGTCACAAAGTTAATTTGCGCTTCTTCTTGAAATTTCTTGCACACGTGCGTTCACGTGTGTCATCAATACACTATTGCGCATGCGCAAAAGGAGGCGGGACACTTACACTGGAACATTCAACATAAGTAAAATGAATTTTGGAGGTGGTAAGAACTTAACAGTCTTTAGTAAATTAATTACTGCTGTTTCTGTTAGGGTACCAGTCTGTAGGGAGCTCTTATGGTGGGGGCAGAGGCTACCAAGGTGGAGGTAGCTATGGTAATCTTGAATATAAAAGTACTGCTTACTTTTCCTGAAAATTAGATACTTTTGGGGGTGGAGGGTACATGGCAAATGAAATGGGTGGAGGTTTTACCTCCCCAGGTGGGACGACAGGAACACCAGGTGGAAAAGACTCAAAGGTCTGTAGTATAAAACAAAATAAAATCGAAATCCTTATAATTAGAGAGGTGGTTTCAAGAACCAGGCGACAAGGCCAGTAACAGCTGCAATGCTTCATCGAGTTACCTCACCACCTGGGGCAGAGGAAATTTACTTAATTGATGATGAACAAGTAACTTTATAATTAAAAATAATATTGCTACACTTCTCTCTTATCACTTTAGGTAAATCAGATAGTTCTGGTCGGTGAGATTGTTGAAGTATTTGAATCAGCTACAAGTGTAATGTATAAGATTGATGATAGAACAGGTCCACCCGTTGAAGTAAGACGATGGATTAACGCTGAAGAGGTAAGAGGCTACTTATTGTTGCTATTTATAGGTTTTGTTTCTAATTATAGGATTCACAATTTGAATTAGAAAGGCGGGCAGCTTGCAGGTGTGTCAGAAAAAAACTTTAAATTTAATATGTAACAATCATTTGTAGGGAAGGAATTTATGTGAAGATTGTTGGTCACATTAAAATGTTTAACAACCAGAGAACGATCACGGGTTTCATGATAAGACCGATAGAAGACTTTAACGAAGTTACTCACCACATGGCCGAGACTATGTTTGCACACCTGGCTATAACGAAAGGACTGAAACTTGTAAGTTTTTAAAAATTAAATCATCACTTCCTGGTCTCTGCTTCCTTAGCCTGAGCAGTTTTCCGATCATCAACAAGGTAATCAAATGGGCGGAGCTTCTAGTTTTGGTAGCACTACACCTCAAGCAGGCGGAAGTGGCTGGACCCCACTTGCAACCAGCACTCAGATGAGTGGCACATCGTACGGCAATCAGTTCAACAGTGGATTAACATTGGTCCAACAAAAGGTGCAGTGGTTTATTTGTAATGTATTATTTTATTTTATTTTATGTATGTAGGTTTTAAGTGTCATTGGTAATACAAAAGGTGATCATGGACTACATGTTAATGATATAATTAGTTCTGTAAAGACTCAAGGCTTCTCTGATGCAAGCATAAAGTAAGATATTAAAGTCCTTTTGTGTTCACCTGAGCCTGCGTAACTTTTGACTTACTAGTTCTATTGTAAAAATACACTTACCAATGCATTGCTTTCCTTTTGCTGTATCAATTGTGGCACTTTAGAAGTAGTTTTGCATTGTTTTTTCTGTTTTTTTACAAAGCATGCTAAGTGAGCTAAACAGCATGCTTCATTGAGCTGACAATTAAGCACTACAATACAGTACATGGCATTTGGAGCACAGAAACAATTTAGCCATTTTTACTAAATTTAGCTAAATACCAAAGGCTATAGTCTTTGGTCATTGGCCCAATTTTTGAGTAATTTTTAAAATTCATAAAAAATTCAAGTATGATTGAAATCAATACATAAGGACATGTGTATGTATCAGAGATAAAAATTAAAATGAAAAATTCTCTCCTAGCCATTTTTTCTTATACACATATAATTATTCATGTCCTCATGTTGCATATATCAACTTTGAGCTGATTCTGATAAAATTTGGATTTTTAATAAATTTTAACATTGCTTAAAAATTGGGACAACGACCAAAGGCTATATAGCCTTTAGTCTGTGGCCAAATTTCACCAAATTAATAAAATGAAAAAAGTTTTTTTGTACCAAAATTTGGCTAAAGGCTATGGCCATTGGCCCATTTTCCAAGCAACTTTAAAAAATTTTTTTAAATCTCAATTTTAATTTGAATCAGCTTGAAGTTGGTACACTACATAAGAACGTATGTATCTGAAAAAAAATTACAACAGGGAACTTGTGAATTTTCTGTCAAATTAATTCTCTTACCAATCTTTGAGCAGCTTGAGATTCTATCATGTTTTCATTTGTTTCTGTGTAAACAAAAGCATAAAACAGGCACAAAACTATATACGATGAAGTTTCGTTGTTGCTGTGTAAACATATCCTAAGTTATGGGCTCAGGTGCAAATGGATGCTATTTTATTATTATTATTATTATTATTATTATTATTTATAGGACTGCTCTTGATTTTCTGTCCAATGAAGGCCATGTATACTCCACAATTGATGAGCAACATTTCAAATCAACAGAAGATGTTTAATTATGCACCAAAAACTATCTTGAACCAGCACACTTCTTTATTAATTTTACTGTAGTCATCCATGTACCGTATATGTCTAAGTTAACGTATCTTTTAGAAATTTTAAAACTTATAACTGGGCGTGGCCAGGTAGGCAGGTACAATTGTCAGGAAATTTGTAGGAAAATGATATAAAAATTCTTTTCCTTGGAGAACACATCCACTAAGCGACGCCATCTCTTCCTCAAATACCTCTAGCAATCTTGCCTCTCCTTCCCTGCCGCCTTTAACATGATAGAAGAAGATTTGGAGGTAGCCATTAAAGTGGTAGTCGTGGGGAATGGTGCTGTGGGGAAGAGCAGCATGATAAGACGGTACTGCAAGGGAGTGTACACGCAGGACTACAAGAAAACCATTGGAGTGGACTTCCTGGAGAGAGAGATTGAGTGAGTTGACTGTCTTTCTGTACATTCGATCGCAAATAAAGTGGGTGGGGCTGTAGTAAAGGTGGGGGATTATTTTTTGTGATGCAGATTTTGTGAATCGAAACTAATAATCGTTTTTTGATTTATTGCTATTTTTAAATCAGCTAAATCGAGACGTTTTAGGTGATGCTTTTTAAATGTGAGTATTAATCGCCTTAACCACTAAACTGTTAACAGTTTTTGTGCTAACAATAACTTGGCGAGCCACGTGTAATTTATAAACTTTATTCATTTTTATTATAGCGTGTATGCAAAAAATTAATTGAGAATGGAATGACAATTATAAATATTTGCCAGCTAGTAATTATACTCATCTTCTACTCAATACCACACACACACACACACGGGCATACACACTTATAATAATAAGAACTGTCACTTTGGAACAGTAAAGTTTATGATCTGCTATGCAGAGGTACTTTTTTAGGGCTTTCCACTGGATTTTGGCATAGTATTCATGCAGCTTCTTGTCAGTTGCTCAAAAATTCGGCCAAAGACTCTGTACTATAGCACAGGGTATTTTCACAAAAATCACAAGTTGAGAATTCTCTATTTTATAATTTTTTTTCCTGATACATATACATGTTCTTATGTTGTATACCAATTTTGAGCTGATTCCAATCAAGTTTGGATTTTTTATGAATTTTTACCAAAATTTTAAAAGGAGAGAATTTGTTATTAATATATTTTTCCTGATACTACCATACTCGCCCCAATTAACGCGGTACCTTCGTAATTATTGCACCTCTACACGGGCTTCTACAATAAAAACTTTCTATTGAGTGCACGTCATGGTCAAGATAATTTATTTTTAAGAGGCGCATTGTAATTAGAAAGTCCCATTGTTACAGGTGTATTGTGTACTTAGCTAAGCACCTTTCTAAACAAGCACCTCCTGGAGCGGTTCATAATCGTTCCTATCTAAACAATGCATGCAACACCTGAGACATGTAATTATAATTTTATCGAGAGAAGCGTTAATTGGGGCGAGTTCCGGTACATGCCCTTGTATTGCATACAAATTTTGAGCTGATTCTGATCAAAATTGAATTTTTAATGAATTTTAAAGTTGCTTTAAAGCCATGTACTGTATTAGTAAAAATAATGTTGATCATTTGTCTATTTTATTTTAGAGTTGATGATGATAACGTAAGATTAATGGTTTGGGATACTGCTGGTCAGGAAGAGTTTGACTCGATCACTAAAGCATATTACCGAGGTAAGATATAGAAATAATGACAGAGGTGAAATTTACTAAAATATATATCGCTTTTTACTTTTAGGTGCCCAAGTCTGTGTTCTGGCCTTCTCTACGACAGATAAGGATTCCTTTGATGCAATTGAGAGATGGAAAAACAAGGTAACTCGTTTTTAAAAAAGAGGTGTGTCATGTGGGTATGGTTTCAGGTTGAAGCAGAATGTGGTGCTATTGTTATGGTAGTGGTTCAGAATAAGATTGATCTAATTGATGAATCTGCTGTCTCAGCAGAAGATGTAGAAGCTTTGACTAAAAGATTAAAGTTACATTTATTTCGAACTTCGGTCAAGGAAAACTTTAATATTGACGAAGGTACGTAATAACTGAGAATCCAGGCTTTTAATTTATTTTTGTTTGTATCGTTAGTGTTCCTCTATCTCTCTCGAAAGTTTCTTAGCCAGCAAAGGAAAGAAGCAACAGAAAGAGCTCAGAACCAGCAGCCAACAAGTTCACTTGGTCAGTGTTGATTGTTTGTGAAGGAGATGGAGGGGAAGAGAAAGAGAAGAAGGGGATTACTATTTATTCTGTTTCTTTAGCTCAAATATTCACCAGCAGTATAGATAATTTGGACAAAGCTGGTCATAAGGATAATGCTAATGGAAAATTGAAAACCAACGAAGAGAAATCTTTTAAAATAAAACCAACAAAGGAGAGAGTACAGAGAAAGCACAGACCATTCTGTGCACTGCTTTGATGTGATTCGCAAGCACACGTAATATGAACAGTTTATTATTTAATATTAACCAACAATCCAATTTCACATAAGAAACAACAGCAGCTCTATTATTATTAATAATAATTATTTATTTATTTTATTTCCATCTTGTTTTGTTTTGCTTATTTATTGCTTGTAAAAAATGGTGATAGCTTCAACTATAATTTTAAGAGGCTTTGATATGAAACTTATTATAGCAGACTACATGTATATATAGTCTTTGTAGGATGTGTCGTAAAATGGCTGGAAGAGACTTAATTCTCAACATGTCTGAACTGTGTATCTGGAGTGAGGCTACAAGAGAATTCTTATTTTACTACATTTTCTGATACAATTATACGCATGTCTTTATGTTTTATGAGCTGATCCTAATAATTATAAATATTACAAAAATAAAAAAGAGTGATGAGGGATTGTTGTTATAAAAATACATGAAAATTAATGTTTGCATATGAAAATAATTGCATGTACGCATGTGGATTATCAAACTTCAATGTCATCAAATTCTTCAATATCGTATGAATAGCTATCAAGATCTTCATTAATCACTTCTTTAAGCCTTGATGAATGTGGGTGCATGATACTAGTCACATCTGGTAAGTATCCATCATGCAGAGGAGAAGATAGGCGTCCATTACAGCTGGAAGGAGGAGGAAGACAAGTGTCTGATATGTAGCCATTTGATTCAATAGTTTTTGATACTCCACAAGGAGAGTTTGGTGAGTATTCGGTGCTTGCTCTTACCTGAGGAGGTGGCAATATATTTGAATAAGTATCCGGTAGATAGCCATCTGAAGCTGATGGAGGTGTCCCTGTATTTGGAATATATCCATTATCTTCTACTGTGATTGGAGCATTTGGTAAGTAGCCATTATCTTCTACTGTGATTGGAGCATTTGGAATATAGCCAGTATCTTCTCCTGTGATTGGAGCATTTGGAATATAGCCATTATCTTCTACTGTGATTGGAGCATTTGGTAAGTAGCCATTATCTTCTACTGTGATTGGAGCATTTGGTAAGTAGCCATTATCTTCTACTGTGATTGGAGCATTTGGTAAGTAGCCATTATCTTCTACTGTGATTGGAGCATTTGGTAAGTAGCCATTATCTTCTACTGTGATTGGAGCATTTGGAATATAGCCAGTATCTTCTCCTGTGATTGGAGCATTTGGAATATAGCCAGTATCTTCTACTGTGATTGGAGCATTTGGTAAGTAGCCATTATCTTCTACTGTGATTGGAGCATTTGGTAAGTAGCCATTATCTTCTCCTGTGATTGGAGCATTTGGTAAGTAGCCAGTATCTTCTACTGTGATTGGAGCATTTGGTAAGTAGCCATTATCTTCTACTGTGATTGGAGCATTTGGTAAGTAGCCATTATCTTCTCCTGTGATTGGAGCATTTGGTAAGTAGCCAGTATCTTCTACTGTGATTGGAGCATTTGGTAAGTAGCCATTATCTTCTACTGTGATTGGAGCATTTGGAATATAGCCATTATCTTCTCCTGTGATTGGAGCATTTGGAATATAGCCATTATCTTCTCCTGTGATTGGAGCATTTGGTAAGTAGCCATTATCTTCTACTGTGATTGGAGCATTTGGTAAGTAGCCAGTATCTTCTACTGTGATTGGAGCATTTGGAATATAGCCATTATCTTCTCCTGTGATTGGAGCATTTGGTAAGTAGCCAGTATCTTCTACTGTGATTGGAGCATTTGGTAAGTAGCCAGTATCTTCTCCTGTGATTGGAGCATTTGGTAAGTAGCCATTATCTTCTCGTGTTATTGGAGCATTTGGTAAGTAGCCATTATCTTCTACTGTGATTGGAGCATTTGGAATATAGCCATTATCTTCTCCTGTGATTGGAGCATTTGGTAAGTAGCCATTATCTTCTCCTGTGATTGGAGCATTTGGAATATAGCCATTATCTTCTCCTGTGATTGGAGCATTTGGTAAGTAGCCATTATCTTCTACTGTGATTGGAGCATTTGGTAAGTAGCCATTATCTTCTACTGTGATTGGAGCATTTGGTAAGTAGCCATTATCTTCTCCTGTGATTGGAGCATTTGGTAAGTAGCCAGTATCTTCTCCTGTGATTGGAGCATTTGGTAAGTAGCCATTATCTTCTCCTGTGATTGGAGCATTTGGAATATAGCCATTATCTTCTCCTGTGATTGGAGCATTTGGTAAGTAGCCATTATCTTCTCCTGTGATTGGAGCATTTGGTAAGTAGCCATTATCTTCTACTGTGATTGGAGCATTTGGAATATAGCCATTATCTTCTCCTGTGATTGGAGCATTTGGAATATAGCCATTATCTTCTCCTGTGATTGGAGCATTTGGAATATAGCCATTATCTTCTCCTGTGATTGGAGCATTTGGTAAGTAGCCATTATCTTCTCCTGTGATTGGAGCATTTGGAATATAGCCATTATCTTCTCCTGTGATTGGAGCATTTGGTAAGTAGCCA